TTGAGTTTTTTGTTTCCTCCTAAATTATTGAAGTTAACCGTGGATAAGAGAACTAAATCACCAATCTTGAAGTTGGGTTCTTTATGACTTTTATCCCACCTGGCTTTACTATACTCTGCTGCTTGTTGGACACATTCAGCAGCATGTGCATTGGCGGCATCCAGCATTTTCTTAAAATCTAGGGCTGTGGGATGCACATGAGGGAGTTGTGCGTTAAGAGTGTCTTTAGGCATTCGGGGTACCCATCCTCTTTCTAAGACATATGGTACTTCCTTGGCAGAAGAGTGCTTGCTACTGTTGTAGGCTATTTCCAGGGCTGGAAGCAGGCTGACCCAGTCGTGTGTATACCCATCAGCATTCTTGTAATCTAACCCAAAAGCACAAAATCTCCGAAGCATATCTTCTAGGGTTTGGATCATCCTTTCTGCCAATCCATCAGTCTGTGGGTGATAAGCAGTTGAAAAGGCTAGCTTGGTACCTAGCATATCATGTAAATTTCTCCAAAACTCAGAGGTAAACTTAGGGTCTCTGTCACTAATTATGATTTTGGAAATCCCCACATCTGCCATAATACGGTTCCAAAATAGCAGGGCTACCTCCATTGCAGTATCATCCTTGTGGTTAGGAATAAACCTAGCTCTTTTAGAAAATCTGTCTACTACCACTAGTACGGAGTTATATGAGTAAGCTCTCTCCTGGGGGTAGACCCATAACAAAGTCCATGTTAATGACTTCCCACCTGGACTTAGGTTCAGCTATCTTCTGGAGAAGTCCAAATCTTTTCCCTGTCTGCTTATTTCCTGTCTGACAGGGGTTACAGGAGGATACGTACTTGTGTACCTGATCTTTAAAGTCTTTCCACCAGGCAGTCTGACTAATCCTTTCAATAGTCCTTTCTTCTGAAAAATGTCCTGCACTGGCACTGTCATGACACTCCTGCAAGATAGAGCTGATTTGGGCTTCATCACATAGTACCAATACACTAGAGTGAGTATTCCTATAATACAATAACCCATCCAACAATGTAAATTTTCCTTCGTGATATGGTTTGGATATCCAAAGGGGTAAACTGGCTATGAGTTCATGAGGAGCATTTCTATTGGAAAGGATGTCTACTAGCTTCAAGAGTTCAGGTACGCTAGCATAACTATCTCTAACTGCTGAGTAGAAGGCTTCATCTAGATCACAGGCATGAATACCAAGAATGGGAAAGTCACTAATTTCCTCCGGATCCCATGCAGGATTCTCTGGCGTGTTAGGTAAAGCCCACCTACTCAAGGCATCCGCATTCTGGTGTTTAGCTCCTGGTTTGTGCCTAATAGTCATAAGGTTTCTGTACTGTTGAATAGCAATCTGCCACCTAAGCATGTGTCTATTGGGTGTCTTCATGTTCATCAGGGTTGTGACTGCTGTACAATCAGTAATGACTAAAACTTTACAACCTTCCAGGTAGTAATGTAGCTTCTCTAAAGCCCAGATTAGAGCTAAACATTCCATTTGGCTAGCACCATATCTTTTCTCGGAATCTTTAACTTGCCTTGATATAAACAATATAGGCCTTTCAATGGGAATACCTTGTTCCTCAAAAGTCTGATGCAATGCAGCCCCCAATCCATCCATACAGGCGTCAATGTACAGAATAAAAGGTTTAGAGTAATCTGGTTGGGCCAATACTGGTGCGGAGGTAACAAGCTCTCTGAGTTTCTCATAATCCTTGACTCTATGATACGTCATTTCAAAGATGACCTTAGGAGTGCATATCTCATACAAGCTTTTGGTGATAATGGCAAATTGAGGAATGTGCTGCCTGTAATAATTACAGAATCCTAGGAATGATTGCATTTCTGTGACATTCTGAGGCATGGGTTTCTGCAACACTGCGGCCACTCTATTCTGATCTATGGCTAGGGTTAGTCCAGAAACAATATGGCCTAATGCTTTCAGTTCACCATATCCAAAGCTGCACTTCTTCATTGACATTTTTAGTCCAGCCGTAGCAGCAGTTTTAAGTACTGTAGCAATCTTTTCAATATGTGTTTCCCAATCTTCAGAGTAGATGATAATATCATCAATGTACACCATCATCCAGTTTTGCCTGATGAAGGAACCGAAGATACTATCCATCATCCTTTGGAAGTGTGAAGGCGCATTCTTGATTCCAAAGGGCATCCTAAGATATTCATAAACACCTAAGTGGCAAATGATTCTCATAAACTTCCTACTACTAGGTTCAATGGGTATTTGATGAAATCCTTTGAGCACATCCATGGTTGTAATGTATTTAGCTTTGGAGAGATTGTGCAAAGCATGGTCTATCCTAGGTATAGGATAATAATCCGCCTTAGTATGGTTATTAAGAGCTCTAAAGTCTCCTACCATCCTCGACTTATTATTATGCCAGGCTATAATGACGGGAGTTGTGATTTCTACTTGTTCATTATGGCCTACTTTTCGTAATACTTTTAAGTCAAGAAGCTCTTTGATATGAGTTTCCAGCGCTTCCCTGGACTTGGGGCTAGAGGGGTAGGGTGCTTTACGGAGCATTGGTGGATAGGGTGTCCCACATGTGAGTTCTATTTTAATGTCATGGCCCTGAACATTTCCAATAGGGTGCGCAGTAGTACAGAAAGCCTCTTGGTGATTGTAACAGACTTTCAATACATCCAGCTTTTGATCTTCAGTCAAGGTATCACTCACAGAGGACTGCCACAGATAATCTGTGTTGAAGGTATTAAGCTCTTTGAAGTCTCTTCTTTCTTCTGCAGTTAGAGTATCAGGGAGGGAAATATGTACATTGCAAATCTGATACTTCTTTTTCCAGTCCCCACCTATAGTATAAAATCGGTTCTTACTCTGAAAGATATCAATAACATAAAGGCAAAAGGTATCATTTCCCAATATTAAGTAGTCACATAAGGCGTCACTGAGTACCACAAATTCTATGGTGAGGCGCAAGGATCCTTTAGAATGAGGGAAGACAAGGGGCATGATTACTACTCCTAAAGTCTTCATAGCTGAATTGCAACTACTAAATTTGGCTCTTGGTATAGGAAGCAAGTTATTCTTCCACGAGGGGTACACTTGGTCTAAGAATTTACTACTGGTACAAGAACAAAAGGCTCCAATATCTAGGAGTGCTTTCACTGGTTTGTCCTCAAATAATACCGTGGTGTAACAAGTTTTTCCGGTAGTGTAGCTCATGCCCGCTTCAGGTTTATTGGATAACATTTTAGCATCAGATACATGTCCTACTACTAATGAAGAGTTCCAGGATTGGGGGAGATTGGACTCTCCTTGAATAGAATTAATGAGGCACTCATCACCAATATCTGCTTGGATGACATAACATCCTAAATGGTGGTTTTCTGTGTCCTTTTCTTCCAGAGAGTGGTCATTCGGCTCAATACCAATAACTTCAAAGTGGGATTGATTGTCATCTTCCTCTTCAGCGTAAATATGATTGATCTTCTTCCTGGGGTTAGGGCAGTCTGCTTTTCTGTGCCCTTTTTCTCCACAATTATAGCATTCTGCTGTTACTGGTTTCTTGATAGGATTATCATTTCTGGTTGAAATATCTGAGGTTTTGCTAACAGTGCTACTATTTTTATCATCTTTAGGATTAATAGTGGGAAGTTTGTTTTTTCTATTCAAACCCATCATTTCAACAACTTCCTCCATAACTTCAATGAGTTCAGATATATCTACATCCATGTCTTTCAGTCTGCATCTGACGGCATGTTCCATATTTCCTCTACATTGACTGAGAAGTTTGTCATTGACCAATATCCTAGTTTGATTCTTATAAATACAATCAATCCTCTTTTTCTGAGCAATGCACCAATCATGAGGATCATCTCTTGTGGGGTCAAAGTAGTCTGACTCAAATAATCTGCGCATCTTTTTCTCCCAGAGTCTAGTACCATATTTGGCTTTGATCAATTCCTTCCAGGTGTCCCAAGATTGTACTCCAAGGGATTCAGTTTTCTCAATAAACCACTGATTAGCACCTCCTTTAAATAATCCTGGAAGTCTAGAAGTAACTAACTCATCTGGGGCATTGTAAGTCCTCAGTATATGGTCTAAGTATTTGATAAAACTGATGTGATCATAATCTCCTTTTCCTTCAAAGGTGGGCCAGTCTTTCAAGGGTGGTACCATTTTATTAAGAATGTTAAGGTCAAGGGTATTATTAAGGACAGTGCGGGGTCTGACGCTTGTTCCTTCATTGACTACCCTAGAGTTGTCAGGGATTTTAGCACTAGATTCTTCTTTATAATTATTAATTTGGTGATTACCTGGGAACCTGTCACTAGGTTCTATGTTATTGCCAGAAAACATTTGGTTATTGGGAAGAGGGTTTATCTTCTGTAGTGGAGACCCTTTCTCTTCATTGGCAAATGGATTGTTAAAATGAGGGGTTCTATACTGTTGCTCATTTTCAATATTAAGATAAGGGTTGTTAAACTTGGGTGAAACATAATTTAATCTTGGTGACGTTGAATTATTTAATTTCATGTCTCTTAATTCAGTCCTCACAGATTCTAGTTGGGTTACAAAAGAACTGTTAACACCTGTTATGGTATTATTGAGCATGTTGTTTTGCTGTATTAAAAGTTCTTTTATTTCATCAAATTGTTTCTTGTTTTTGAGTTGTTGTTCCATAATAACTTCTTCTTTCACGGTAGAGATTACATTATCCCCACTAGAAAGTGTAACAGCTTCAATCTTATCTAGTCTTTCCTTAACTGTAATTATTTCTTTGTAGTTGTCACTAATCATGCTGATAATGGCATCTAACTTACTATCCATCTCATCATTGCTTTCTTTGACCGGAATTCTTTTTGTTTGTAAAGACAATTTCAAAGCGGTCTCAATGGAATTTCTCAGGCTCTCATGTGAATTCTTTATTAGTTTAAGGAGTGACTTATGATTAAATTCAAGGTTGTGGTTCATGGTATGGAGATTACCCTGTACATTAAGAGTAGCATTAAAAATAGAAGTTAAGGAGGAAGTGCTTTGCGGGAGCGCTGTCGGTAAGCTGCTCTCCAAGCCTGACCTATCTCGAAGACGTCCGCCCAGACCCGAGGATCGTCGTATTGCTGGGCTCTCTTCGAGGTGGAGCTCTTCTTCTTGCCTTCCTTCTTCGGCGGTGGAGGAAATAACTCGCGTTTGGCGTCCCAGGGATTCCACCCCTTGACGTAGCCTTCGAGCTCTTCTTTGGTGATCAGCTTCTGTAAGGCTTTCTGGGAGTCTTGCGCCTGGTGTAGGATGGTTCGGAGTTCGGGGGTTGCTCCGGAAGGCTTCTCGAGTACGAATTTCTTCCAGATAGCTATGTGTTCCTTGATCAGTAGGCGGATGCGTTCCTTCTTGGACAGCGCCACTATGTCGGGGCTGTTGGGGCGTTTTGGGGTATCCTCCAAGGAGATCGAGGGATCGTCTAGATCCATCGCTTCGTCTCTCGATTTGTTCTGAGAGTCGTTGGTGATCTGAGAGTCGGTCGTCTCGGCCGTCTTCTTCTTGATCTGAAGCATGCTGAGTTGTCGGACTCGGTCTTCGAGAGGTAGCGGAGCTCCTTGGTCTCGTGGGAGCTGGGAGCGGTCCGGCAAGGTTGGGTCGCGAGGATCTAGTAGACATGGTTAAGTCGATTTCTTGTTTAGTGAAGAGTGTTAAACAAGATTAAATGGTAAGGGAACTTACAGTTCAATAATTCGTCGAGTTCGTCGACTGAAGTATCTTCAGGGTTGCCTATATTATCGACCGCGGAGTGGTTGTTAGGGACTTCTATCGAAGTACTGGGATTAATGCTTGCGGAGGTCGTGGATGCAGACACTGAAGGTTGTATTGCGTAAAGAAGATGTGAGTTAGTGTATTGATGGCAGGATAAGGAGGTGCTAGGGCTTACTTCTAAGCCTTTGTTCTCGTTTGTATTCTCTGTACTCGCGAAGAGCTTCGTTTACTAGTATCTTGGCCGCGAGGGTGTCGTCTTCTTCGCGATGTATCCTAGCGATAGCGATCTGGAGCTGTTCTTCTCGGCTAAGTAGCTCCCAGTCGCTCGGTTTATAGCTCTTGATAAATTCTTCTTTTCGGAGCTTTAAGAATCGGAGATAGTATTTGACTAGTTCGCTGTTTTCTCGGAGGTTCACTAATAATAGAAAAAGGTGTAGAGGAAATGAAGTAAATAAATCTTTTTGGGTTTTATTGGTTTTATTAAATTTTTATATGGTGTTAGGTAGGTATGACAAAGGAATGATTAGTGTGAAAGGGTAATAGATTGCTAATTTGCTTTGATATCGAGGCCGATGTGAAAGAGTGATGGACTCGACTAACTCTATTAAGAGATAGTAAGTTCAACCGAAGTTTATAGAGGTGTCTTGGGGGACTGGGTGAGTAGTTATGGAAGTCTGCGAAGCAACTGAGTAAGGGTGGGAGTAGGTGACAAGAAGAGTGAATCGATTCGATATGTGAATCAGAAGAGAGCGAGTCTTGAGTTGTGAGGATAGTTATATCAATGGGGAGAAGGTTGTTGTTCTTATTGGACCGAGCAACCAGGGTGATTAGGTGTGATTTAGGAATAGAGCTTAGGATGCGTATAAAGGTTATGGGTACGATCGAGATGTTTTATAGATAAATCTTAGTGATCGGTTGAGAAGGATGAGGCTAGGATGAAAGATAAGTTCCCGGCCAGACCCCCAGTTGTCAGGCTCGGAGATGCCAAGACAGAATGTCCTCTAGCTACTCCGACCGATGGAAGTGGTTTGGTATAGGAGGTGGGGGAAGTGAATTGAAAGGATACGAGGGGCCCAGGTCAATGGGGGTGTTTACGGTGCCCTCGGCGATGTGAGCTCTTCAGTCTATTGCTAATATCAAGCGTGACTGTGAGAAGCTTGACGACAGGTCCTAGAGATCTTAGGGGTGGTAGTCTGTGTCTTGGGTAGAGAGAGTGGATGGAGGTAACGCGCTCGAGGAGATAGCACTTACTGAGTTTGATGAAAAGGCCTTTCAGCTGTTTCCTCTACGATTGCGGGTCCTTATCTCTTGAGAGCTTACTCCAGACGGTGATTCAAACGGGTTTGACGGCGATAGTGGCACGTAGTCAAGAGTTTAAATCGGTGGGGTCTGTTGGTGATGAAAGCGAAGAGTTCAAGTAGGGGTTAGTTTATTCGGTTTGGAAGTTTATAAGGAAAAGGATGGAAAAGTTGTCGTCCGGTATTCAAGTCTGGTTCCTCCTCTTACTTGTATCCGAGGCCTCCTTTTATACTCGTTGTGGTATGTCCATACCTTTCCATGTATCCTCATTTTTCACATCATTTCTACAAATATTCTTCACAGTATTATTTTATATTCAGATTCTACACATCATTTCACCCCTAGTCACCTCTTACAGATTTTCATTAGCTCTTATAGTTCTCTAGTTATCATCTCTTCAGTATATTCATAGTTACAGAACAGTACATTACTTTGTACATACAGTACATATACATTACACATTATCTAGTTACAGTATCTATGTAACATCACTCTTCCACCATAGTACATCATCTTAACTACACTACATCATATACATATTTCTATTCACACAGCTTTGACTTTCCATCTATGATTAGCACTTGTATACACAGAACATCTATCTCTAGGATACATTATTTCTCATCCCTCATTACTGTTTAAGATTTACATTACCCATAGCCAGGATTTCCCCAGCCATGGTGCTTCACTGTTGTATGTACATGTTGTACACATATATACTCTTCCTTCCTCCTCATGTATTTTTCCCTTATGTGATTTCCATGCATGCTTTATGTTAGTCTATCCATAGTTTTTGTCAGCTATTGAGTAAGAGTCGGATACCTTGAGGGAATCCGGATCCTAAAACGGGATAGTGATAAGTTTTGAGAAATCAAAGGCTAGTTCCGGTTCAGTGATTCGCTGATATAACTAGACCACAGGCTTTGTGCTTGGTTGAGTTCAGGGATCGGCGCAATATAACTGGAAGGAGCGGTCCTAGAAGTGAATCCTAGATTGACTTCAGGAGCAAGAGGAATTTGGAAAGGTTTAGGTAAAAGTCGTCTCTTCTTGGATTTCTGGGGAGCATCAAAGACAAGAGAGAATAAACTTATATAGTATGTACAACTTGCATAACTCTATATAAGCATAAAAGATAAAATGAATATAAGAATAATAAATAGTGCAGTCTGTGTAGTAAATGGTACATAAGCTTGTGAAAGGTATTGTGACATTTACTTGCAGGCTGACAGTTTTAGTACTAGAAATTATCATCACCCTTATATCTTTACCATATATCATTGCCAGTTATATTTGCCAGCTATACTTTGCCAGTTATAAACCCCCTTGCCAGTTATAAATCCTCATTTGCCAGATTATCATCCTTTGCCAGTGCCATTCCTCATTGCCAGTGTTACACCCTTGCCAGTATTATCCCATCACACCTCACCCCTCCTCCTCACACCTCAGTAGGAACTACTTACACAAGCTCATCAGTAATAGTAGTCTAAGATAAAGTAGAAATCAGCCACACCTTTATTCTTCTTTTTCTTAGTGTTACACTCTTCCCATCAGCATTGTACAGGAGGGCAGCCTCATCAGCACCTGTAGTATCAGCTTACATTAGTACTAGTGTAGTTGTCTATATCCCCTCCAAGCTTTATCTCCTTGGTTGAGTAGTTCCACAAGTGGTGTCCCAACAGTGGCCTGACTTCCTTTAAATTTCAGTTCTAGTAACACTATTATTATCAGCTTTACAGTAATACTACCTACATACCATCTCCCCTACTTTCCTCCCTCTCCCTTGCTATCCCTCATATCCTTTCCTCTCTATTCCAGATTTATTATTCTCCAGATATCTACAGAATATTAGTCAACTCAGAAACATCATTTCATCCTCATCTTTACCATACTTCCTCCCAATTCATTTTCATCATTTTACTTGAATCAGACTACATATCTATTACCTTTCCATTTCCCAGAACTATTTCTTCAATTCCTACACTCTTTTTCCTTATATTACATCTGCTGCCATTCTACTTCACCTGAATAACCATAATATATCAGTCAACAACTTTCTCAATCAAATAGAAGAAATGTCTCAGGATACTAGATTTAACAGCAACACTTACCCTGGCCAGGAATCCACCAGCAACAATGTCCCACCCTCAACTTCCAGCCTTGGACAGACCATCTCTCATTCTAATTCCAGATCAAACAATATTTACAACAATCAGCAATCAGCCCATTCATTCACCAGAAATCCAGACACTCAATTCCTAGACAAGGAGCCAGTTTTACCCAAGTACAGAGGAACCAGCACCAGATCAGTCAAAATCAAGCCCATGGATAAGGAACTTTTCTTTGATGGAACCAACATGCCTGTGGAAAAATTTATCAAGAGGTATGAGAATGCTGGATTAGCTGATGATGCTTCTGCTCAAGATTTGGCCAGACAGATTATATCTTTTATTCATGGAATGGACCTCAAGGACGAAGTGGAAGAAATGACTGGCCATGAGGACTCAGACTGGGAACTTTTGAAGGCACAACTACTCAACAGGTTTGGATCCTATCTTCCTTTGGTCAAATACTCTAGGCAGGATTTGAAGAAATTGGTCAACACTGCTATCCAAGCTGGAGGAATCAAGACTCTGGAGGAATTCAAGAATTTCAGGACCAAATTTGAATCAGTTACCACCTATCTCTTCAGGATGGGATACTCTAACAGCTTGGAGGAATTCAGGGAGCTCTTACTGGAATCTCTCAGTCCTGATTTGGAGGCCTCAGTCACTAGGGAACTCATTAGGGACAACAAGATGCTTTCTTCCATGGATGGTGGGGATATTCTTCCAGATACTCAAATTATTTTGGCCTACATACACAGGGAGGTTCAGTCAACATCAGTTATGGAAAGAAGAAAACTTCACAGAATGGAACCCATGGAACCCACTAAGGAATTGGACAATTCAACTTCTGCCATCAAGAATCCATCTCTAGCTCCCAAGCCATCTACTCCAGCCTGCTCCAATGAATTAGAACAAAATTTTGAAGAACTTACCAGGAAATTTGAAGCTTACTACTCTGTAAAAATCAACCCAACTTATCCTTCAGGACCAGCTCCTTCCCAGTCATCTTCACCAGCTCCTAGAAAATCAGAATTCAAATGTTATTATTGCTTTCTCAAAGGCCATGGTACCAGAAAGTGCAACTCAGTACTCTATGATGAATCCATTGGGGCAGTAACCAGAGATGGAAAATTATTCAAGCTTCCAGACAGCACCACAATTCCATGGGACACTAGCAGGCCAATCAAACAGGTGGTGGACCAATATTCCAGGAATTCAGTCCAGTTATTCTCCTCCTTTGGCCAGCTGGTGGAACTTTCTCCAGAGGAACTCAGAGCCCACAAAGCAGACCTAGCAAAAAGGAACATATCAACCTGGAAACAGGAAGGAATTTCAGCTATAGAAAAATGGACCGCTCAGGAAAAAGGAATTCCCATGGAAAAAGACAAACTAGACTTACTCAATATGGCCAACTCCAGTCTCAAATCTTCTTCTCCAGACCTCAGCTCTTGCTCCATCTATTCCTTTCCTCAACTCTCTGATAACCAATTCAAGGACAGATTAATTCATTACTCAGATATTCAGCACTTTCCTTCTTTCCTTACAGAAGAACCTCCCAGGAAATACTCAATTTGTACAAATTTGGCCACAGATTACCCTGGATCACTGGGGGAAACAAATCAAAAGCTCTAAGTCATGGATCAAGATCATTTTATTAGTTATGGGGGAACACTTACCTCAGAACATGAATTTCCAGAAGATTTGAAGAAATTTCCCAACAGAATCCTACCACTAGAGGACAACATTTCAGAAAACCTTGGAAAATCAGAGTATGAAGATAAACAGGATTTAGTTGCTCACCATTTTGGAAGACTAGGACTCACCCATGATGGACTTGGCCAACATGATCTTGTGGATACTGGCTCCATTGTTGGGGAAATAAATTTGCTCAGGAATTTATCTGCAACTTTCAATATCAGTAATGAAATTCAAGAACCAGCAGCTGGGCTGGATATCAGAAAACAACTCTTTCTTATTTCAGTCTCCCTAAATAACCATCAGAAATGGGGAGATATCTTACCTTCCAGCATGGCCACCAAGGATTACTTAAATCAGGCCCACTATTCCAGCACCTCTCAACTCTTTCTGTCTTCCCAGCTGATGGGGACATCAGCCAAGTTGGGGGAGGGACTTACCACCAGATCCCTGGAATTAAAACATTTTTGTTATCAGAAACCAGCTGCTGAATTCCTGATTATTTGTCTGAAGACATCAGTTCTGGAATGTGGAAATCTTCTCCAGAACTCACACCCAGAAGCCTTTCATAACCTTCCCTTGGCCCAACTGAAGTTCACTTTTCAACTCAATGGTAGCGGTACCTCAAAATTGCAGTTCAGAAAGTGTGGCTGTCAGGAATCACCCTTGGAAAATGGTCTAAACTGGGCACTTACAGTTCGGATCAAAACCTTTCTTGGCCTTGGCCTTCCAAAGGGCATCGACTGGTTCCAAAACGATATGAGTCACAAGACACAGTTCGCGCGAGGAGCCTGGGTTGATCAAGCCTCCAAACAGGTTGCGCGAGGTAGGCAGACAAAGCCTTTGGCAGTGGGGCAAGTTAGTTGGGATCGCTCCAATCCTATTTTCATCAAAAACGATAACTCAGCAGTTGGAAATAGGAACAAGAAGGTCCAACAGGAGACAACTTACAGTATCAATGTAGGAAACGACATCACCGCGACTTGCGGCAACCTTTGTGGATTCAGAGTACCGGTCAACAATATCGTTCAGTTGATGTCTGATCGGGCGCAAACCAGCTGGTTTGGCTGTTGGGAAGCGTTAGATAACAAGGCCATCGATGTGGCTAGGAAACAGGTCTGTAGTGTTCATCAAACGGGATATCAATTCGCGATTAGTCAAGGATGGAGGATGAGTTCTTTGGAAGCAGTTTCAAGGAAGGATAGCCATACCGAGTCGAGTAGAAGGAGCAGAAACAAGAGGAGTAAATCGGAAGGAGTTGTCTGGGAATCGGATCGATTGACAAGAATACAGATGGCGATGGCTAGCAACAGGGACTACTACTTAAGAAGCAATCAAAAGGATCGCTTGGAAGCACCATTGATCACCTTGTCATTGCTCAAACACTGGCAAGCGATCACCAAAAGGCGAGAATGTTGCTTGAAAGTAATCGGGATCGATGATGGCATCAATCGAGAGCC